CTGTGTTAGACCAGGATGCAAGAAAAGACCACTGACTCCAATTAAAATCAAATTAAAGCAAGCTTATTATTTCGACGGCCAGGCTGCCTCTCCCACCCAAAACCTCAGGAACAAGACAGCAGCTGCAGCTTTCCTGCAGCCCAGCTTTATAACCCAGAAAGTTACACAAAGAGGGGGGGTTACAGATAACAGAACTCTGACAAGCATAACACAAATGGTAGTTTACATTTTTGCTGGCCCCGACATCAGAATTTATGAAGGTCATTAGAGCCTTAGAGAAGGTCATTATCTGGCCAGGGAAGGCCAAGATTTGTGAGGTGTCACTAAAGTTTCAGAGAGGGCTGCTATCTGGTCAGAGAGCCAGGCATGGGTGAGTTCAAGGCATGGGCAGGCATTCCAAGCAGGTTCAGAATTTGCAGTAATTTATAGTAAAGCAGAAATTATCTTTTCATGGCTTTGTGGCGAGATGGCTCCCAATTTTAAGAAAAGATCAGGTTCCATCTATCACATGAGTTTAATCCCTGTATCCCCCATCAAAAAAGAATTATCATACTTTCTTGATGAATTGACCCCCTTTTCACTATGACCTTCTTTTTCCCTGATAAAATTCTTCCCTTTAAAAACTATGTTGTTAGGTCAAAAAGTAAAGAAGATACTCCATTAAAACTGAATCAAAGGAAAGCTAGAGTGACTATGCTAATGGTGTATCTTCTTTACTTTTTAACCTATCTCTGGGTTTCTTGTCTTTAGTGTATAGTTTAGTCTTTTTTTTTTTCCCAGTACTGGGGATTGAGTATATCAGCACTTAACCATTGAGCTACATCCTCAAACCTTTTGAAATATTTTATTTTGAGGAAGGGTCTTGATAAATTGTCCAGGCTGGTCTTGAACTTGCGATCCTCCTGCCTCAGCCTCCCTATTAGCTGGGATTACAGGCAGGTACCCCATATCCATCTTGGTCTTGCTTTTTAATCTATCTGAATCTTTTAGTTAGGTGTTTATAGTTGTAAAGACATTTAATATGATTATTCAAATGGTTTGGCTTACATCTACCAGGTTGCTATTTATTTTCTATTTATCTTATTTGTTCCCTTTTTTCTTTCTCTTTCTTAAATAATTGATTATTTTTATGATTTTTAAAAATCTCCTTCATTAGTTTCTTGTCTGTACCACTTTGTTTTATTTATTTTGTGTGTGTGTGTGTGTGTGTTTGCTTTGGGGATGATAGCACATATATTTAATTTATCATAGTCTACACAGAATACTTTGATTTTCCCATTTTGTGACCTTTGTGCTATTGTCATATTTTACCTTTGTAAATCCCACAAGAAATAATTATTTTTGCCTTAATTATATTTTAAAGATGTGGTAAAAGTCTTTTATGTTTGCCCACATATTTAGCAGTTTCAGTGTTCTTCATTCTTTTGTATGGGTCCAATTTTCCCTCTGGTATTTTTTTTTTTTTTGCCTGAAGGGATTTCTTTAACATTTTTTGTAGTATGATCTGCTAATGATTAAGTCTCTCAGATTTTGAATATCTTCAAAAGCCTCTATTTTGCATTTTAAACAGCTCTATGGAGGTATATTAACATAAAAGTAAAGTTCACATTTAAAAAGTATAATTTGATGAGATTTAACATAATATTAATATATTCATGGGCTGGGATTATGGCTCAGTGGTAGAGCGCTTGCCCACATGTGCAAGGGGGCCTGGGTTCGATCCTCAGCACCACATAAAAATAAATAAATAAGATAAAGGTATTGTGTCCAACCATAACTAGAAAATAAATATTTAAAAATTTTTAAAAAATATATTCATAACCCATGAAACCGATACCACAAATGTTAAATGAGCATATGGGGGCAGGGTTGGGGTTGTGGCTCAGCAGGTAGAACGCTCGCCTAGCATGTGCGAGGTGCTGGGTTTGATCCTCAGCACCACATAAAAACAAATAAAATAAAGGGGAAAAATGAGCATATCCATCACCCCCCAAAATTTCATGGTGCTTCTTTGCAAACCTTTTCACCTACTGCCCTCCCAATCTTTAAATTTGCTTTAATCTGCTTTTCTGTATTTTCTAGAATTTTTATATAAGTGAAATAATAAAACTCTTCTGTTGTTGCATAATCATTACTATAATTGTTTTTAAATTCAACTGTGTGGATATATCAATATGATTTATTTTTATTGTTAATATATTTGTTTGTGTGTGGTACTATGGATTGAATCTGGGGATACTCTACCACTGAGCTACATGCCCAGCCCTTTTTTATTTTTATTTTGAGACCAGGTCTCACTAAGTTGACAATTCTGCTCTCAAATTTTCAATCCTTCTTCCTCAATCTTCCAAGTAGCTGGGATTATAGGCATAAGCCATTGTGCCCAGTTTATTGCTTTATTTTCATTTTAAAAGTTAGTGTGGGTGAAGTACATATGACATAAGATTTTTCCATTTTAAACATTTTTATGTGTACCACTCAGTGATGACAAGAACATTCACATGTTGTATAACCATCACCGCTATTTCCAAAACTTTTTCATCAACCTCAAATTTCTTCTTAAGTGTGTAATCTGATGTAAATCCCATTTGATATCTTTTTTTTATTTCAGACTCTATTTTTTTAGATATTATCAGTTCGTGTCTTTTTTATATTAAATGTATCTCTTGTTATACCACTTTTTCCTCTACCTTCCTAAACATATGGGTATATAATATTTATTTTAATGCTCTAGTCTCTAATTCTATCATCTATATCATTTCTGGGTTTGTATCAGTGAATTTTTCTCTTCCTTATAGTCAGATTTTGTCTTATTTTTCTCTGAGGTTTAAATTGGATACCAGATATTGTAAATTTTACATTATTGGGTTTTAGATTTTGTGGGGGAGGTGTATTAATATGCCAAGAAACGGTGCCTTTTAAAAATTTTTTTGATTTTTTTATTTGTTCTTTTTAGATAAGCATGACAGTAGAGTTATTTTGACATATATACATGGAGTATAACTTATTCTAATTAGGATCCCATTCTTGTGGTTGAACATGATGTGGAGTTACACTGGTCATGTATTCATAGATGAACATAGGAAAGTTATGTCTGGTTCATTATATTGTCTTTCCTATTCCCATCCCATCTCCCTCCTCTTCAATCCCCTTTGTCTAATCCACTGAACTTCTGTTCTCCCCCCACCTTATTATGTGTCACCATCCACATGTCAGAGAGAAAATTCAGCCTTTTTTTGTTGTTTGTTTGTTTGGACTGGCTTATTTCACTTAGCATGATAGTCCCCAGCTCCATCTACTAACTGGCAAATGCCATAATTTCATTCTTCTTTATGGCTGAGTAATATTCCATTATGTACATGTACCACATTTTCTTTTTTAAAAAATATTCTTTTAGTTGTAGATGGATACAATATCTTTATATTTATTTATTTTTATATGGTGTTGAGGATTGAACCCAGCGCCTCACACATGCGAGGCACTCTACCACTGAGCTACAGGCCCAGCTCCCACATTTTCTTTATACATTCATCTATTGAAGTGCACCTGGTTGGTTCTGTACTGTAGCTATTGTAAATTGACTGCTATAAACATTAATGTGGCTGCATCACTGTAGTATGTGGATTTTAAGTCCTTTGGGTATATACCGAGGAGTGGAATAACTGGGTCAAATGGTGGTTCCATTCCAAGTTTTTTTGAGGATCTACACACTGCTTTCCAGAGTGGTTGATCAATTTGCAGTTCCAAGAAATAGTTCCTTTTGAGGTTGCTTTTACACTTTTTTAAAAATATTTTTTAGTTGTAGTTGGACACAATACCTTTATTTTACTTATTTATTTTTATGTGGTGCTGAGGATCGAAACCAGGGCCTCATACATGCTAGGTGAGCACTCCACCATTAGGCTGAAACCCCAGCCCTACATTTTCTTTTGTAGGTTCAGATCAGCCTTTAGTTTTGGCCTCGCTTGGCCCTACTTATGAGGACTCCATTTATTACTCTGTGAATCAAGAAGTCTTTCCACCACAATTGGTGGGAACACAAACTGTTCCCAGCCCTGTGTGAGTTCCAGGGATTGCTCTGCCTGCCCTTCCCTGGCATTGGCTTATACCTAATATACCACACAGTACTCAACTACAGACTTCCTTGAATTCTGCTTATTTGTATAAAATTCTTTCTGCACATCTATTCCTTCTCTGCTCTGCCCCGTGGTTTCTAGCTTTTTTGCCTCACTGAGCAATGAATTCTCTCTCATCAAACCAGGGGATGCCTGGGTTGTTTGGCCTTCTGTCCCACACCCTGGTGTTCACCAGGCAGTATGGGGTGATTATAAAGCTGCTCTAGGGAACTTGCATCTTGTGCCAGCTATTGTCCAATGACTGAAAACCATTATTGTATATATCTTCTCTATTTTCCTGAGTCCTTGCTTCAGACACAATAGTAAATTCCATCCTTACGTAGAAGCAGAATTACCTGTCAGATTATTATAATCCTACTACTACTACTACTACTACTACTACTACTAGTTTTTGGTACCAGGGAATGAACTCAGAGGCACTTGACCACTGAGCGACATCCCCAGCCCTATTTTGTATTTTATTTAGAGACAGGGTCTCATTGTGTTGCTTAGTGCCTCACTTTTGCTGAGGCTGCCTTTGAACTCTTAATCCTCCTGTCTCAGCTTCTGGAAACTCTGTTATTATAGGTGTGCACAACCATGCCCAGTACTTGACAGATTATTATATGTTCACTTTAAACAATTTATTAGAAGAAGAACTTATAATAACTATTCTGATTCATTGATTCAAATTTATCTGTATTAAAGTTGGAAACGCAGGTGTTCTGATATAGATGATTATGGAACTCATGGGATATTATGTCCCAAAAAAAATTACACCAAAATATATTAAAAGGGTTAATTTATAACAGAAGTCTCATTTACATTTTATATATAGTTTGAATTACCTTGAAGAGGAAGATTTCATGTTTATGTTCTGGTTCCCAGCGCGAGTGTATCTCTATCCACGTGGGGCAGGCAGGTGTCCAGATCGGCAATGCCTGCTGGGAACTGTACTGCCTTGAACATGGAATTCAGCCCGATGGTCAGATGCCAAGTGACAAAACCATTGGCGGCGGGGATGACTCGTTCAACACATTCTTCAGCGAAACCGGGGCTGGCAAGCACGTGCCCAGAGCAGTGTTTGTGGACCTGGAGCCCACCGTGGTTGGTAGGTGCTCAGGCCTGCAGGGAGGCCTTCCTGGGAGGGTGGGAGAGCCTTGGTAAAGTCCCATGTAGACTCCTTGAATCCCTGTGCAGAAAGGAGGGATGTTGAAGCCTATGTTCCAAACTTTGCTGGGTGAGGAACTCACTGGTGTGGACTGAAGGATCTTGACTGTGGGATTCAGGAACATACCTCAGGAAACCTGCCCGGCAGAGAAAAGCTGCTTAACCAGCAGTAAGCTGGGCTGCAGAGAGATTCCCTCCTGGCTGACTCTGCTGGTCAGGTGTCTCCCATGCACACCCAGTGCAGGGTGCACGGCCTTGGTTCCCTCCTTCATGCCACCCACACTGACATGCTGGCACACTATAGTCTTGAGCTGCCCGGAGACTGGAAACTTAAGTGTAGAACATTCATTGGGTTCCTCTAGATTGGAAGTCCTAGGTAGTTTCCTTTAAGAGGTGTAAAACAGAGCACCTTTCATTGGTTCCCCTGGGACGTAACAGAATACTGATTTTCCAACCTGTGTGACCTGGGCAACATGCAATTCCCTGATGGCACGGCCCCACTGAAGTCATGCTGACCTGGTGACTGCAGGTTTATGAGTGAGTTTTTAATTGTTCCCTTTGATGTAGCTAAGGGTAGGAAAGAAAGAAGTAGCTGGAGAATCACCCATATGGGCATGTGAGCATTTTGCTCTCAGTGGGAACTGATCCTGCTGGCATTTGTATATCTGTTGACTCTACCTTACTACAGCCATAAGTGGCATTTGTGGTTTGTGTATCATACAGAGAATTTTCCAGCGTGTGCTTTGTAGATTCAGCCCTCCTGCGGCTGTGTCCACCTTAGTGAGTACAGCAGGCCAGAGAGACTCTCAGATCATGGGGTTTTTTTTGTAGATGAAGTGCGCACGGGGACCTACAGGCAGCTCTTCCACCCAGAGCAGCTGATCACTGGGAAGGAAGATGCCGCCAATAATTATGCCAGAGGCCATTACACCATTGGCAAGGAGATCGTGGACCTGGTCCTGGACCGGATCCGTAAACTGGTAAGAAGAGCACCAAGGAGGCTTCTTGAAGTGGTTCCTGGGTGGGGACGGAGGGCCTTGGATTGTGAAAGGGAGGTCATCTGGGGAGGTCTTAGGTCAGGTTCTGGGATCTGACCAAGTCTACAGAGTCTTCTTGTATGGTGTCTGCTGAGATGCATTGATAGCTGTCTCTTGTCTGCTTTGGCTTCTGAGGGTAATGCCTGCTGGTTAGGCACTTATTTGAGTCCATGTGAACTTGTGAGAGCACAGAGAAGTGAGCCTGGCCTGTTGGAGTTTGGTGGTGTGTCTTCCACAGCCTTTGGCTCACATTGTGTGGTTTCTTGCAGGCGGATCTGTGCACAGGACTGCAGGGCTTCCTCATCTTCCACAGCTTCGGGGGCGGCACGGGCTCCGGGTTCGCTTCTCTGCTCATGGAGCGGCTGTCAGTGGACTATGGCAAGAAGTCCAAACTGGAATTTGCCATCTACCCAGCTCCGCAGGTTTCCACAGCTGTGGTAGAGCCCTACAACTCCATCCTGACCACCCACACGACCCTCGAGCACTCCGACTGTGCCTTCATGGTGGACAATGAAGCCATCTATGACATCTGTCGGCGCAACCTGGACATCGAGCGGCCCACGTACACCAACCTCAATCGTCTCATTGGGCAGATCGTGTCCTCCATCACGGCCTCCCTGCGGTTCGATGGGGCCCTGAACGTGGATCTGACGGAATTCCAGACCAACCTGGTGCCTTATCCCCGCATCCACTTCCCCCTGGCCACTTATGCCCCAGTCATCTCGGCGGAGAAAGCCTATCACGAGCAGCTCTCAGTGGCCGAGATCACCAATGCCTGCTTTGAGCCGGCCAACCAGATGGTGAAGTGTGACCCTCGCCATGGCAAGTACATGGCCTGCTGCATGTTGTACAGGGGGGACGTGGTCCCAAAAGATGTCAATGCGGCCATCGCCACCATCAAGACCAAGCGCACCATCCAGTTTGTGGATTGGTGCCCCACTGGGTTTAAGGTAGGACTGGGTACTTTTTAGTCACCTTGCTAGTCAGGGAGCAGCAGGTGCACACTGGTGCTGACCCTCAAGGCACACCTCCTTCAGGGAGGTTGCCTCTTGATGTTAATGAGACTGCAAGGAGAGCAGTCCTTAATTAGCTAACAGCTTCATTCTTCATGTAATACATTCATTCTGTGCACTCCTTTCTTAAAACCATGCTTTAAAGTTGATAGTGAGGTTGGTGTTGCCAGTTTCTTAATAGTTTAGAAGAGTGAGGCTGAGATACCTTTAAGGGGCCTGCAAGTGATGGGAAGGAGAATTCAGAAATGGTCTGGCAGCAGACCCTGATCTCGTTTCCCTCACCTCTCTACTGACTTTAGACATTTGTCAGGGCCTATGATTCCTTTTTTGTTGGTCCAAATGGTAGATTTTTACTTTACTTGATGTTGTTCACCTGTTGTGCCTGAATTTTAGGAATTATTTATGTTTTTATGAATGGATTGTTAAATGTGTATCTCAGTGTTTTTTTATTTTTAAATTTTTAGTTGTAGATGGACACAACTTCTTAATTTAATTTATTTATTTAGTGGTGCTGAGGATCACTCCTAGTGCTCCATGCATGCGAGGCAAGTGCTCTTCCACTGAGCCACAACCCCAATCCTAAGCATTTAAGTGTGGGCAAAGGATAGGTTTGACGTCTATTATGGGGAAAGCACCATGTATGTGGAAGCCATCCCAGACTCTCAGGCTGTAACACTTGTTGGATTACCAGACTAAATGCTTCCCCATACATGTGTTCCTCAACTCTTTGCCCTCTGGTTTGTGGATATCAGTCCTTATCCATAGTAGTTTTCCATTTATTCAAAGCTCTGGGCCCCGATTTTTTTTTTTTAAGGATTGAACATAGTGGCTCTTACCACTGGGCCACATCCCCAACACTTTTATATTTTGAGACAGAGTCTCCCTAAGTTGTTTAGATACTAGCTAGACTGCTAAGGCTGACTTTGAACTCTGAATCCTGCTGCCTCAACCTCCCAAGTTGCTGGGGTTACAGGTGTGTGCTACCAAGCCCAACTGGGCCCCATATTTGTAAGCCCTGATGAGTTCCTGAGGTGTTGGGGGAGGTAAAGGTCATTCCAGAATGAAAACATCACAGGAATATGTGTTAATCATCTTCTTCTGATGTGGAATGGCCATGGCTTGCCTGTTACTACAGGAAGCGTTTTGAAACCTCTCAGCCCCAGTTCACAAAGACATCTGCACACAGATTACTGGTAAGATGGTATTTTTCATTTGTCAAGTTTAAAGTAACTCATAGAAGCAGGTAAAATCTACTACAGACTTTGCTGACCTTGAAATAGTCATCAACTGTAAGACAGGGGTAGCAGAAGCTAGTTAGAGGTTACAGGTAGTTGTTGAAACTTTCCATTTTGTTTCTAATTTTTAAGCCTTTGGTTTGAGAAACAAAAATATTTTTCCAGTAGGTGAGACATTTGGGAGTTGAGGACATATAAAGCAGCCTTAGTTGGCAGGGCAAGTGCAAGATGCTTGCCCAGGTTTGCTGTCCTAGCTGAGTGGTTCTAAGAGGCAGCAGGGAGGCAGGTCTGTAGGAAAGTGTGTGTGTCAGCCTCTGCTGTCCCCTTATAGAAGACCATCCAGCACCAGGTGGGCCTTGTTGAATTCTCCTTGCTCTAAGTTCTTTTTTGTCAGTTGGAGTGTGACTTGGCAGCCATTCTTTTGCAACCATTTGCTGAGGGATACACTATTTTCAAGGAGTCTCTTCCATGATTAAAACCATTTGGCTTTTTTTTAATACTCAACATCTTTTGTTTTTATTTATTTGTTTATTGTATGTGGTGCCAGGAATCAAACCCAGTGCCTCATGCATGCTAGGCAAATGCTCTACCACTGAGCCACAGCCCTGGCCTTTTTTTTTTTTTTTTAATATTTAGTTTTTAGTTATAGTTGGACATAGTACCTTTATTTTATTTATTTATGTTTATATGGTGCTGAAGATCAAACCCTGGGCATTGGGCATGCTAGGCAAGTGCTCTACTGCTGACCACATGGGAGGCACTGGGTTCAATCCTCAACTCCATCATTTGGCCTTTTTATACTACAAAATCAGTATAAAATATTGAAACAAAGTGGAAGGCTGAAAAGCTGAAATCCTCTTCCCCTTCTCCAGAGCTTTTTTGTCCTTTAAGAGATGCCTTTGCCTATTTCAGGTAACCATGCCTCTTGTTATACAGGTGATGCTGGCTGACAGAGAAGTCACAGACATGGGCAAAGGATGCATGTTCCTTCCCTGTAGGTGGCAGACCCAAATTCCTGCATATAGTTGGCCAAACAGAACAGGAGTCTGGCAGCACTGCCACTTACAAGGGCTAGTTGGCTGGGCTTTAAAGTTGTGGGAGGGCACCCCCTCCATCAGAGTTTGAGCTCCTGTGCCCTTCCCTCTACCCCTTCTAAAGCCTCTGGAGCCTATCTGTGTGCAGAGCTCCTGCTAACTACTTCTGTTCACAGGATAGTGCAGGGTCACTGACTCAACACACTCCCAGGTATTCATGCGCTTCAGTTTCAGCACATGTTCCAGTAGCCTCTGAGGCTGTACTCTTGAGTATAATGCTAACCACATAGGTTTGTTTGTTTCTCCCCCCCCCACACACACACACTTAACTACATAGAATTCAACTGTTTTCTTTAATGAGTATACATCAAACCCAAGGCAAATTGATACACCTGAACCGGGTTCTCAATTCATTTTTCTTGCTTTCTTTTTGTTTTTTAAGTAATATTCTTTTTAAAAAATATTTATTTTTTAGTTGTAGTTGGACACAATACCTTTATTTTATTGATTCATATGTGGTACTGAGGATCAAACCCAGGTCCCTGCATATGGTAGGCAAGTACAGTACTGCAGAGCCATGACCCCAGCCCCATAATATTGTTTTTTAAAAAAACATTTTTTAGTTGTAGTTAACACAATACCTTTATTTTATTTATTTATTTTTACATGATGCTGAGGATCGAACCTAGGGCCTTGCACGGGCTAGGTGAGTGCTCAACCCTGAGCCACGACCCCAGCCCGTAATATTGTATTTTTAATAAGTGTTTTTTGTTGTTGGAAATGGACAGAATGGCTTCGTTTATTTTTATGAGGTCCTAAGGATCAAACCAAGTGCTCCAACCCCAGCCCTCATTCATTTTCATGTTTTACTTTAGAGATGTAATACGATTGAACTAGTTGCTTATAAATGGATGATCCTTTCCAATTTTGCCATTAAAACAAAGATTCAACTCTGTACTTAAAAACCTAAAACATAGGGCACACAGTCAATCCTCAGCACCATATAAAAATAAATAAAATACCTTCATTTAAAAGAAAAACAAAAAACCTAAAACATCAGACTGGGATTGCGGCTCAGCAATTGAGTGCTTGCTTTGCACATGTGAGGCACTGGGTTCAATCCTCAGCACCACATTAAAAAAAGGTTTAAAAAAAAAACCTGATACATCTTCCTGTGGGTGAATCTAAAAGCAGTATGGTAGGGTCAAAGTACATTAAATGTTGACAGTTTATGCCAAAAACCTTTATTGTAATTATTTGTTTTTATGTGGTGCTGAGGCTAGAACCCAGGGCCACTGAGCTACATACAATCCCAGGCCAGGGCATTGTTTAAACTGGGATCAGTGCTCCAGTTTTCAATAAGCCATCATATGTGAAACCTACATCAGTTTCACTCTTGTTGTTCCTCTTCCCTGGCAGGTGGGCATTAACTACCAGCCCCCCACAGTGGTGCCTGGAGGAGACCTGGCCAAGGTGCAGCGGGCTGTGTGCATGCTGAGCAACACCACTGCCATCGCGGAGGCCTGGGCCCGCCTGGACCATAAGTTCGACCTCATGTATGCCAAGCGGGCCTTTGTGCACTGGTATGTGGGAGAAGGCATGGAGGAAGGGGAATTCTCAGAGGCCCGAGAGGACCTGGCAGCGCTGGAGAAGGATTATGAAGAGGTGGGCGTGGATTCTGTGGAAGCAGAGGCTGAAGAAGGGGAAGAATACTGACTGGGAGGGTATGACTGGCAACAACTCTCCCTTTCACTCTCTCTCCTGGGCACGCACACTGTAACATTTACAGGATATATTTACCTATTAAAATTTGTTTATTGAGGCATTATTTGTTTTGTGTGCTGTACTTTGATCAAACTGCCTGTCTAGAGGCCCGCCTTTGCCAGTGGATTCCTCAGGAGAAAATATATCCATTTGTTTCTTTTAGAGAATTGGTAGGCACGTTTGTATGCTTAAGTACTGCATTTCTCCCAGAAAGGCTTCGGAAGGGCTTCCTAAGGGAATTATCAATGTCTTCTGAAAGACCCACCGATTCCCTGTCCAAGAAAGACGCACGAGGCACTGGCTGCAAAAGCAAGAGGCGATTTATTGATACACAGGCGCCTGCGGGTGCCCAGCGAAACCTCAGCCGGAGCTTCGGTGAACTGGCACACCGGGCTTTGGGGTACAGATCTTTTATAGGGTATAGTGGTCAATTTCCCTCCTAGCACAGTAACAGGTATCTCATTGGCTCTTTTGAATCCAGCATATAGGTCACTTAAAGGGTAAACTTATTTTTCACTATAGGTTCCTGGAAAAACCACATAAAGGAACAACTACATAAAAACCATTTGTTATTCATTGTATGGTTTTTCATTGTATGATCCCGTTTGCCCAACCGTGCCGGCTCCTTTCCCAACCATCCTGTCCTTTCTTAATCGGTTACACTTAACTGATTCTCTGAAAAATACATCTGACGTCTGTGCAGGTGCGGAACCAAGCCCTGGTGATTTATTACTGGGCCTAAAGTTATTGGGCTGGGGTCTTTCACTTCAATCTGAGCATTCTCTTTAGTCCTTCCTGGCATTCTTGTCTGGCAGACACACTGATGTCTGTTTCCTCCAACATCGTGAAGGGTTTCACCCAGTAATCATTCGGGGGTGCAGTGGACTACGCCTAGGGCGTGTATCCAAGGGCTGTGTCAACCCAGTTCTTAACTTCCTTTTCCACATATGTCCTTAGCCTTCCTCCACTGCTCACATGCCGCTGTGGGAGACAACAAAACCTCCAGAATTACCCAAAGTGTACTCAAGAGCCACAGCCTGTAAGCACTCCCTTAAACCCTCGCCCCGAAAGATGAGTCAAGTTTTGAGCGGTGGGTTGTTTTTCTTAGCAAGAGTCCTGGACCCCTTTGTGTGCGCGAGCGCCTTCTTGAGTTAGGGAGTCCTTCCTTTGGGTGACGGTGGGCTTGCGAGGATCCCGGGGCATTGAGCACACGCCGCACGGACCAGCAACCGGGAGCCGGTTCAAACGAGTGGGGCGTTAACGAAGAGCTGACCTTTGGACAAAGAAAAACCCAGGAGTGGGACGAGTATCCCACGGTCCTAACCGGATGACGCAGGCGCGACACAGGACAAGGCCCGCAGCTTCCGGCGCCAGCCCGCTGGGAAACTTTCAGCACCGCCTCCCCGCTCGTGAGCGCCGCTCGCGCCGGAGGCTCTATGGTACCAACTTCCGCTGAGCGCCACTACTCGCGAGAATTACGCGTCGCAGCAATGGCGGGACCGTGAGTGCCGCTGACGGGACTCAAAGAGAACGGGCTAGAACGGGTTTGGGCCGAGATCGGGCTACTGGGGTCCCTACGGGCAACTTTTCCCTGGAGGGCGTGGCAGCTGGGGTCGTGAAGCCACTCCGGGGTCCGGACGGCCGCCAGCGACCTAGCTCCCGCCTCTTCCCCAGATGCCGCGCCACTGCTCGGCCGCCGGCTGCTGCACACGGGATACGCGCGAGACGCGCAACCGCGGCATCTCTTTCCACAGGTCGGCGCGCGTGCGTGTTAGTGCGCGACGTCTCGCTTGCGCATGCGTTTTGTTGTCCTCCGCTGGAGTCGCGATGGCGCTTTGTCCCTCCCCTTCCTCCAGTCCGCGAGAGGCTTGAACCTGTGGGTGGGCGGGGGAAGGGGGCGGGTCATTGGCGCCTGAGTCCGGTCCTGGAAGAAAAACGGGACGCTTACCAGGCTTCGACTTGGTGCTTTCTCTTCCCAGCCAGCGGACCCTGAGCGCTCTGCCTGCTTTCGCCAGGGCTCAGTTTCCTGGTCTGTGCCAGAGGTAGCGGGGGTACTTCTTCGACAGGGTCACAGGGAGGTCTCCTGGCGGCATGTGCAGGGCCTACTCTTCCTCCCTGGGGAACTTGAACAGCATGAGCCCAGGGGCTCCGGCAGCCTGGTTCTCATGGGTTTGTGGTTCTGCAGACTTCCCAAGAAGGACAATCCGAGGCGTAGCCTGTGGCTGGCCAACTGTCAGCGGCTGGACCCCAGCGGCCAGGGCCTGTGGGACCCTGCCTCTGAGTACATCTACTTCTGCTCCAAACATTTCGAGGAGAACTGCTTTGAGCTGGTGGGAATCAGGTGGGCTTCCTTGCCAGCCAGCATTGGGCAGGGTGTGGGGTGTCAGCATAGTATACAGCGGGGCAGCTGTGTCTTGAAGAGGCAGTCCCTGAGCAGCTGCCCTGAGGACAGCTTGCCAGGTGGACAGGCAGCCATGGTTCCAAAAGTGCTGCTTTCCCTTCCCCTTTGTGTACAGTAAAGCGCACTCCCAGTTTCACTTTGCCAGTTTCACTTTGCCAGTAACACCAGAGAAAAACAGCTGTTCCAGGGAGTGTTCCTCACCCAGGCCTCCCAGCAAGCCCACAAAAAGAATTCATTTTGGCTGATCTGTCCAGCCCTGTTGGTGGAGCTGCTTCGCCCATCTCAGCTTTAAGAGATTGGTGGGATTCTGCCTAACATGGCATTTTCTCAAACTTGTTTATTATGTGCCTTCCAGCCTGCCACAACCCCCAGTACTGGGGAAGCTGTGTTGGGTGCCAGGGAGAGATGGCCCAAGTGGCAGCACTTGTTCTTCAGCTCATTAGTGCTGCTTTTCCCCACAGTGGCTATCACAGGCTGAAGGAAGGGGCAGTTCCCACCATATTTGAGTCTTTCTCCAAATTACGCCGGACAACCAAGACCAAGGGGCATAGTTATCTACCTGGGCCCCCCGATGTCAGCCGGTTGCGGAGATGCAGGAAGCGGTATGTGCTATGGGTGCTAAATGTTCCCCACTTTCTTTTACCATGAGACTAAGGGTGTGGGCTTTAGGGTTTGCCAACATATAGGGTTCTTACTGCACCAACCCTCTTGTGGGGTTTCATATGTTAGGGCATTTCTTTGAAATGAGATCTCCCTGTCAATCCCTTTTTCTCTCTGCAGCTGCCTTGAAGACCGAGGGCCCACAACTCCATTTTCTCCACCTCCTCCTGCTGATGTCACCTGCTTTCCGGTGGAAGAGGCCTCTGCACCTGCCACTTTGCCTGCCTCCCCATCTGGGAGGCTGGAGCCTGGCCTTAGCAGCCCCTTCTCAGACCTTCTGAGCCCTGTTGGTGCCCAGGCTGATGAAGCAGGCTGTAGTACGCAACCCTCTCCAGAGCAGCAAACTTCCCCTCTTGAGCCTCGACCTATCTCTCCCTCAGCCTACATGCTGCGCCTGCCCCCGCCTGCTGGAGCCTACATCCAGAATGAGCACAGCTACCAGGTGGGCAGTGCCCTTCTCTGGAAGCGGAGGGCTGAAGCGGCCCTAGATGCACTGGACAAGGCCCAGCGCCAGTTGCAGGCTTGCAAGCGGAGGGAGCAGAGGCTGAGACTACGGCTGACCAAGCTGCAGCAGGAGCGTGCACGAGAGAAGCGGGCGCAGGCAGATGCCCGCCAGACTTTGAAGGAGCATGTGCAGGACTTTGCTATGCAACTGAGCAACAGTATGGCCTGAGGGAATGGCTATCATGAAGGCTTCAGCCTGTTTCTCCCTCAAAATCTGCTAGTGAGCACCTGATGTGAACTGAATCCACCAGACCACTAAATAGCACAATAAAGTGGATTCTAGATGGTTGCCCTGCTGTCTGACTAAGCTTTGGGTAACAGGTTCATTCTTCCAGTGTCTGCAGGCTCCAGATGGCTTAGACCTGGGTTCAGATTCTTGGTTGTGGAAAGCTGAAAGCTTGGTTCTTAACTACCCTTTCATGCCACACAAGTAAATAGGAGGCAGACATTCTTGCCTGTGTAGCTCTTTGCCCCACAGGGTTCTCTGGAGGACAGAATAGTGTTAGTAGGAGTCATGAGGCAGTGCCAGGCACCCTTTATTGGGTCCTGAAAAAGATTGGACTTAAGAAACCAGTCCTTTTGAGAACACTCATAAAACCCTGTTCAGACTTGGTACTTATGCAGAGGCATAACAGGCTTTTGTCCACACCCAAACTGCCTGGTAGGTTAGAAAGCTGTACCAGCCACTATTGGATCTGTCTACCTCAGAAAAAAGGGGGATAATGATAATTATCACTGACCTCCTTGGGATCCTCCATTTGGCTAATAGTAAAGCCTATGAAGAATTTTCAGATTGTTGAAGTGTGGGAAGAAGTGGGTAGATCTTGGGGGGAAATGTACAGATCCTGGCTTCATTATCTTTTTTTTTTTTTTGGTGGTGCTGGGGATTGAACCCAGGGCAAGGCATGCACTCTATCGACTGAGCTATATCCCCAGTCCTCATTGTCCTATTTTTTCAATTCATGGAAACCTAGAAGGCTTCATACTGGATTTGACTATTGTACATAGCTGAGAGTATACAGGCTGATTCTCAACTTTTTTTTTTTTTTTTTTGTACCAGGAATTGAACTCGGGGACACTCAACCACTGAGCCACATCCCCAGCCCTATTTTGTATTTTATTTAGTGACAGGATCTCACTGAGTTGCTTAGTGCCTCGTTAAGTTGCTGAGGCTGCCTTTGAACTCATGATCCTCCTGTCTCACCCGCCCCCCCAGGTGGTGGAATTACAGGCATGCGTCACCATGCCCAGTCACATGCTGATTCTCACTGACGGTATGACCTCTTTTTGATGGTCCTTGGCCACAAAGCCCAATGGGCACACCTGACTTTATTTCCAGAGCTAGCACACACTATTCTCAAATTCACTTTTTTTCTACAGTCCATGGTGTTTAAATTATTCACACCATGTTTAGAAGAGATAGTCAGAGGGCCAATTACAATGGTACACATAGTACAGGGTTTGTAGGTTGTTCATGAGGCTTGCAGGCCCACTCTTCCAAGAGAGGGGTTTGGATGAAACTGCCCTGGGGATAAGACAAGACTACATCTGGAGGATCACTGATTTCACACCCAGCCTATCTTACTGCCCAACCCAGGCTGCGCCTTGTCTTCTGGTTGCTGACATGTAAACCTTCCCTACCCACCCCCACAAATGCTAACTACTGCACTCAGCCACCTGCCTCAGCTCCTGCTCCATACCCACACTCACTTGCTAGCTCGTTATGTACTAGGCCCTTTCCTGGCTGGCTGGTTTTATGGATCTGCTACACCTGGTTAAGGAGTAGCCAACCTGCTGCCCACAACACCAACCATAACCTACTTATAGCTATCTGGGTCCCCATTGCAGGGCCATGTCTGGGTACTCTTCAACCAGAGGAAGAACATGTGCTCTAAGGCCAGAAAGAGAACAGATGTTTCCTAAGATACACTCTGACTTCCTGACAGGATAAGGCAGGTCCTGCATTCTGGTTCCTGGAAAAGCACAATTGGGCCTCTTGTATTGGAATGCATTGATACAGGTTCTAATCCTGGGTGATAGGAGGATTCTCTGATCTTTCCTCAACTCCCAGCCCAGGCAAGAGGATAGAGCCTTCCTTGGTAGGGGCCAACCTGGACACCTCTAATCAATGGTGTATTGAGAGTGGCAACTGAAAAGGGTGATGTGCTTCAGTAGCATACCATATTGCTCTCTTGTCAGAGTACCCACCCTTTCAACATCTAGAGGTCCTTAGGCAGGCTGCATTCAGTTGATATGTTTTAGACCCTAGATCCCTAGGGCACCTCTGTGCTTTAGAAGCACTATCATTGAGAAACTCCCACATGCATGGGAATCTGATGATTATCTCTAGGGTCCACTGCTGCCTGGTCTCTGACTGGTCTCTGAGGGTCCACAGACCAGAGTCCAGAGGTCCAGTTTCCTCTGTTGTTCTTGGGACTGTTCAGTTCCTTTAGTCATCATTCTCCAAGCCACAGAAAATGAGGGTCAGTACAGCACTTTCCTCACTCTGCATTGAGACCTCTACCTGTTTTAATTATGTCCCTAACCAAGCACCTCAGGCCTCCTGAGCTTTGAGACAGTGGCCCCCAGGTTTTCTACATCATCAGATGTGGGCCCCACTTCACTTTTTTTTTTTTTTAGTTACAGATTGACACAATATATTTATTTGTTTGTTTGTTTGTTCCTTTATTTATTTATTATGTGGTGCTGAGGATCAAACCCAGTGCCTCACCCATGTGAGACAAGCACTCTACCACTGAGCCACAGTCCCAGCCCCCAGCTTCACTCTTTATATTCTAGGCAAACATCTTCCTGAAAGTCCTAGACATCTATTTTAATAGTTCTGGAGATTCTGGAGCTTCTGCAGTGGGTAAGGCCCTCAAGGCCAACAACGCGTTGGAAGAACTCAACATGAGGTGAGAAGTATGGGGGTATCACGCAGGAACCAGGGGCACTGTGATCTCACTAATATTCATTTTCATTTCTGATCCTATGACAGTCTACTTAGGAAGGGGTTTGGCCACAATCCTAAGACATCCAGCTCCATCCTTCTCTCTCAAGATCATCACTGATACATTGTGACTCCTAATTCCTGCACTGAAGGCAGGTAACTAGGGATACCCAAATGTAAGTGTGAATGACCTTCAGAAGGCCTGGCACAAGATGGTGACCTATGAGAACTTCCATGTCTTTCAATGGATCCTCTTCTGGATGGAGCAAGGCTAGGCTCTGACTGGTGGCCCCTCCGGCATGCTTTGCGAGAGGTTCTTCTCCAGGGGCCGGCTCTGAGTGAGGTTCTTCTCCAGGCCAGGCGGCGTCTCAGCCCTCAACAGGTAATAATGGGGTAGGGGCAAACCCACTGGGGAAAAAAGAGGCAGATGTCAGTCAAGTTATAGGCTGTTATGGCTGAGCCCCTCCCCAGGGGCTGCATCTTGCAGGCAAGAGGCCCCATTCAGTCCAGCACATCTTTCCTCCCCATGGGAAGAGCCAAGGCTGGAGGCAGCAACAGGAAATGCTGAAATTCATGGCACAGCCAGAGCCAACATGTGGGAAGTCAGAAGTGGGACTGGCTCCTGAGAAAAGGTGGCCCCGAGTTGAAGCCCAAAGTTGGTTTAGTAGGAGGAGAAGAGAGGATGAGAACAGGGAGATAGGTGATTATCGATAGTTATTGTCATGGTGATGGGTAGGTACCATGGAGCAGAACACGTGGGGGCACCTGCTGAGCTCAAAGGGCCAAGGAGTGACGGCTGGTCTCTACCACAGGAGGGACACTCTGGCCTGTTGGCTGGGTGACCTTCCTGGAAATGGAGTCACCCGTGAGGCGGCATAATACCCATCTTTTTCACCCTGAGTTGCCTGAAAGACCTGGGCATGAAGGGAGGGTTGGAATGAGAAGCCAATCCTGGTGGATGCAACAGAATATCCAGAAGAGACACTGGAGCAATCAGTCCTGCACAGCTCTTTGGAAAGCTGCAAGAGGAATGAGTCTTTTTTTGTCGGAGTTGCTATTGTGCATTAATTGTACAAAGTAATGGTGTTCTGTGTGATATTTCCATACTCACACTGATCAGATCCAAACTTTCTTTTTCCACCTCCCCACTTCCAAACCCTTCCCAAACTCTAGTAGTCACTAACCTATTTTCAGGTTGATATTTTTTAGCTTCCATATATGAGAGAGAACATGTGACCCTTGTGTTTCTGTGTCTGGCTTATTTCACTTAACATAATGTTCTCTAGTTTCATCCATGCTGCTAATGACAAGATGCCATTCTTCTTTATGGCTGAATAATACTCCATGGTGTATAGGTACCACATTTTATTTATCCGCTCACTTGTTGATGGACACCTAGGACTAATCCTGTATCTTGACTATGACTCATAAGTTTTATTTTTTTTTTTCCCAGCAACAACCGAATCTCTGCAATGGGAGCCCGGCACCTGGGGTTGGGCCTCTGGGTCAACCAGACACTAAGGATTCTTGTTGTGAGTGCTAACCTCAAGAGGGAAGCCTCAGCATAGACCTGCTCTGTGCCTGTCCACACAGATGCCTCCTCCACCACATCACCAAACCCAGGGCCACTGGATGAGCGGCAGTGTACACAGACTCCAGAGCCCTGATGGGGTCTCTGGGAGGGGGGCCTCCTGGATTACTTTTGCAACTACTTCTTCCTTTTGCCATTCAGTCTCCCACCTCTGGCCTGGCCCATGCTGAGATTCACATTCCTCTTCTGTCCACCTATCCCTCCCAGCACTATGTCCTCAACAACATCTTGCTGACTTTTCTTCTCTTCCTTTTGGGGTGCTCCTCTGTGGAAAGTTGCCAGAGAACCCCTCGCTTGGCATTCATCTCCCCTGCTCTTTCTCTTCTGTCCTGGAACCCAGGGTCAATGCAGGTGGATTTGTTTGCCACTGCTCAGACATACCTGAGGCCTGTGTGTCTAAAGGGAGTTGCCTTTCTTCAGAGTTGCAGGTGAAAAGAGTCACTGAGCAGGGCTCAGAGTGGAAGATGGAGAAGGGAGGGAGCCAGGCAAATGTGGAGAAAAATCTCTGAGGTCTGCTGTACCAATAGCTTGTGCTAGGGGACAGTATCACCAGCACTGGGGACAGGGTTGGCATCTGGCTCTGCTCCCCATCTTCAGCCTTCCCAGGTCTTCTCTCATTAGCTTTCCCACTCCTTGCCCCTCAAAAACTGTGACCTCTTTCCCAAGCTTACATGCACCTCTCCAGCACTGACAGTCTCCTAATCACAATGAACTCTTGAGAGTTTGTCATGAATGCTTCACCTCCACC